GGGTTTAGCAGACCACGCGGCCAAAACATGTGAAACTTGGCACGCGAGCTCTCCGTCGCGCCCCGGGTCGATTTGTGTCGTCCGCGCGCGCGCTGGCGCGCGGAGCACGCGCGTTTCGAATTTTTTCGTCGATGGGCGTGCACACGTAGAAAAAAAGGGGAAACCCTAGGAGGGGTAAAAATTTAGCTAAATCGCTCTCGAACTTTTGCAACTTTTTTTGCGTTTTCCTATCATTTTGGAATTGACACAAAATGGAAATCATCACGCATCGGCGATTTTACGCAAATCCACACCGGGGAACTTGCATCGACGTACGGGAAATTTCAACAGCTTTCCATCGATGTACAGCATGCCTCGATATGATGCGATAACGCGTATAACAAAGCTCAGTATCATCACTTTTTACACGGAGGTTAGTACAATAGCAGTGATCGGACACGCGTCGACGGCGTAACGGAGAAAACGTGGTCTTCTTCTTCTTCGAATCTGAGCGGGTTATCTTCCGACAGCGACTCGATCCGGAGTACGTTGGCGGAATGCTTTTTTGGCGTCGACGCCGAGCGCGGGCGCGGCGACGGGACGTCCTACGTCGCTCGATGCTCGTCGTCGCGTCGGCGCCCGTCGGCGTTCGCGGCGACGAGTGATGAATGATGATGATGATGACATGACGCGCGTGGTCGATTCGTATCGCGCGCGCATGCGCGGACGACACTCGCGCGCGCGGTGCGCGGGCGTGAACGGAGGGCGATCATGGACGACGACGAGGGCGAGAAGCACGGGGCGTGGACGGCGTGGACGAGCGAACGCGACGGGGCGTGCGCGTGGAGACAGACGTCGAGACGGTTGGAAGTCAAAGTGGCGCCGGTTCGCGTGAAAAATCTCGCCGAGACGCGCGCGTGGGCGTGTCGAGGTGCGTCGGGCGATCGGGAGCGGCGACGGTGATGCGGCGATGGGCGCGCGGTGACTGACGGGTCGTGCGCGCGTAGGGACGCGGGCGTGTCTTCGCGTGACGGCGCCTCCGAACGCGTGGCGCGCGGATTTGCGCGCGGACGTCGACGCGCGCGCGATGACAATCGAGACGAACGAGACGACGAAAGAGGTTGTTTTTCGCTGCGAAAAAATTGTCAAAGCGATCTGGCCGAGTTTACGCGCGAGTGGAGATCCAGAGACGATCGAGCAAAGGCGCGCGGAGGCGGATGCGGAGCACGAGCGCGAGACGCGCTCGGACGCCGAGCGCGTGGACGCTGAACGACGCCGAGTCGCTCGTTCGTTCCTCGAACGTCAGTGGGCCATCGAGGATGAACGATTCAAGGCGTCGACGCGCTCACCGATCGAAAAAACCTTCATCCAGAGCGCACCAACGACGTCGTTGAGATCGCGGTGGGCGCCTCCGATCCGTCGTACGGAGCGACCGCCCCTGCGCGCTACGATCGACGTCGAGGTCGTTCTCACGCCGTGTGAGTGCCTTCCGGCGCGAAACCTCGGGTTGTGAAATTATCACCGCCGCATCGCGCCATCCAAATCACCAATAACTTCGATCGCGTCCGTTCCGCGCGCGCCGACCGCGCCGCGCCGCGCTGCGTCCAGTCAGCATCTCGCGCCCGCCTCCACATCTCGCCGTCCCATCGATGTCCGCGCGCTCGCTCGCTCGCGCCACCTTTCGCGGGTTTCTCCGAGCCTCCCGCGTCCTGGACGAACAGCTCTCGCGAACCCAAGCGAGCCAAGCGAGCGAGGTTTTCACCGAGCGAGAACACGAGGAGCTCACGGAAATCTTACCTCGAGTTTTCGAGCGTTTAAAGGGGCGAACGGTCGCCGATGTCGCTCGAGAGGAGTACCGGGCGGCGTCGGCGAGCGAAGAGCATCTGAGCGATCGTTTGGATGCCGCTTTACGGGCTTTACGGACGCTGAGGATGCGATTGGAACGGATGCGGGTCATGGCGCCGAGTCCGTGTAGCGACGCGACGACGCGAGGGGTCAGAGTAAGGGTCAAAGCGTCCTTGGTCCCGGCGCAGACGGCGCCGGTGATGGAGAGATACGTGTACGCGTACGAGGTGGAGATCGAGAACGAGAACGAGGAGGCGGTACAGGTGGTTTCGCGGAGGTGGAGAGTCGTGGACGAGGCGCGTTTTTGACGAAGACGCGACGACGCGATGACGCGACGCAGAGGCGATCCGCGGTGATCCATCGTCGCCGGAAACTGACGAATTCATTTTCACGACGCAGGATGGGAACGCGGAGGAGATCGAGGGGAGTGGCGTCGTCGGCGAACAACCGACGCTCGCGAAGGGTGAGAAATTTTCGTACACATCTGCGACTGTCCTGAAACGCATCCGCGGATCGATGAGCGGAACATACGTGTGCGTCTCGCAGGAGACGAAGGAAGTTTTCGAAGCTGAGATCGCCCCGTTCGCGCTCACGCCGCCGCGTTTCACCAAAGAGGACGCCGCCGCGGATTCTGAGGACGACGAGGACGACGACATTGCGGCGCTTACGCGCGAATCTGCCCCGCTCTAAACTCGCACACCCCGCTCGACTGACGACCCCGCGCGTTCACGATGGATTTGTACGCCTATCCGCGCTTGATTTCGACCCACGTGTTGTAACTTTGTACCGATTATCATCATATCGTTGCGTTCAACTGCCGTCCCGCTCGCGCGTCCCGTCCACCGCGAAGCACACGTCCGCGCGCATGTCCACGACCGCGTCCTCGATCGCCGTCTCCACGCGCGCTGTTGCGCGCGCACACCGCCTTCGTCGATATAAAACACCCGAGAGAGCGATGCACGTCGCGTGCAACGCGGCCGAAGCGTCGAATGATTTCCCAGAGCTCATGGCGCACGCGACGCGCGCGGTTCGTCTGGCGTCGACGCTGTGCAAGCGCACGCAGTTCGAACTGCGCAATAACGAAAAAGTTGCGAAATTGGATGATTCACCGGTCACGGTGGCGGATTTCGCTGCGCAGGCGGTGGTGTCGTTGGTACTGGAGCGAGCTGCGCCGAGCGTCGGATTGGTGGCAGAGGAGAGCGCGAGCGACATGCGAAGCGATGGAGGCGCGGTTTTGAGGCGACGGGTCACCGAGAAGGTAAACGAGACGTTAGCGGAAGAGTTCGAAAGGACGTTCAGCGAGGATGAGGTCATGGACGCGATTGATCGAGGGCAGACGGAGGGCGGCGCGAGCGGGTCGTTTTGGATTTTGGATCCAATCGACGGTACGAAAGGTTTCATCAATGGACGACAATACGCCATCGCGCTGGCACTCATGGAAGGAGGTGAGGTCACGGGAGGGGTGTTGGGATGCCCGAATATGCCGGGCGAGAAGATCCCGCGAGGGGCGACAGAGATTCCCACTGCGTCGCCGGGATGTCTCTTCGTGGCATACAAGGGACGCGGCGCGCTCGCGTGCGCGCTCGATTCGAGCAATCCTTTTGTGGACGGCGTGAAAATTTCTACACAAAAGACGTCACACTCGAGCGAAGCGACTTACATGGAGTCGTGGGGTGACTCCATCGTCGCCGATCACTCGTTTACGAATTCTCTGAGCGCAGCGATGGGCGTCACGGCGCCGCCAGTTCGCATCGATAGCATGGCAAAATACGGTGCGCTCGCTCGTGGGGACACGAACATGTACCTGAGATTTCCGCCCGCGAATTACAGAGAAAAGGTGTGGGATCACGCCGCGGGAGCGATCGTCGTTCAAGAGGCAGGAGGCGTCATCAGCGACGGCACGGGTAAACCGTTAGATTTCAGCAAGGGGCGGTTCTTAGACATCGACATTGGCATTGTCGCCACTTCATCTGCGGAGTTGCACGCGACGCTCCTGGAGACCATCGCCAAGGTAAGATAGACTATATTGAAACATTACTTTATTACATACTCGCGCTATGGACGATGCTCAGCTTGGCTTTTGCTTCGTCCGCACCGGTTTCAATCGATGTTTGAGTAAGGCGACGATTTCGTCGCGCGTTCTTGTGGGCTGCCCCACGTTTACGTATCTATCTGCTAACCAGTGCAATCTACCGCACATAACTGCTAAACCGACGTCGAAGAACCCAACATTGTCGAAAATCAATCCGTCGTTCTTCGCGAACTGATCTAACGTCGCCAAGAACTGCTCTGGTAACTCGGACCAGTGCAGCTTTGAATTGATGTGGTGAATCGTGTGATAACCGTCGTTGAACGTCAATTGATTGTCCGGATGATTAATGGCGCAGTATGAGTTACGATAGTGACAGTGCGGCTTATCCGGGTCGACGAAGATGTGCTGCGACCAGTTACCGAACATGAGCGCGAACGAGCTTGTGAAGTAAGGGACGACGAAGATCCAAAACGCCGCCATCGCGTTCAACGATTTCACGCACGTGTAAGCCGCATACGTCCCAACGAACCCGGCGACGCACTTCACCGCTGTCCCATACATCCCCTTACGCACCGCGTACAGCGGCAACTCCACGATCGACCAGAACGTGAACCGCGCCCAGTACGCTGCGAACGCCAAAACACTGTCCCGTCGCAGTCCCTCTGTCGAGCTCAGATCCCTCCCGAGCGCGTTATTCTCCCCGTGATGCATCATATCGTGATGTAACTTATATACCCCACTCGGGATCCCGAAAAACGGCGCCAGAAACCCTCCGGCGACGCTGTCCAGGATCCTTCCTGCCACTCGGTCTCTCCTGAATGCGCTCGCGTGCGTCCCGTAGTGCAACGCCAACGCGAACCTCTGTAAGAATAATCCGTATACCGACGCGAAGTACGACGCACCGTGCGTCCAGTGTCGTCCACGGCACACCAAAGCGAGCGCCATCGCCGGCGTCGTCGCGAGCACGTTCACCAAGGCGAAGATCAATGGGAAATCCTTTTCACTCCGCGTCACCGCTCGGAGTCTCTGGACGAGCGCACCGGTGGGTGGGACGACGTACTCGCGACGACGCGCGTGGAGGTCATCGCACGTCACCTCTCGCGCCCCGCACGCGCCGACGCGGGCGATCATCGCGTCGGGGGACGGGGTGAGAGACGCGGTGCGCTCTGAGGTTACAACGGTCGCGCTCGGTGATTTGGATACCATTTGACGAGGCGGATGCGACACGGGAACACGGAGAGTTCTTCGTCGCGTGGTCTCCGTTCGCGCGACGCGCGGGGGGTACTATTAACAAACACGATAGTCGACGAGTTAGGGGTCGGTGACGGATCGCTCGGACGCGGCAACGACGCCGCCCTTGCCGACGGCGACGACAGATTTCCGAGCGACGGGCGCGGGAGTGTACCAGCCGGCTTGATCGGGGGTCATGAACTCGGCGCCGCCGCCGGTTCGGGGGTGAAATGGGGACGGCGTCTCGGCGAGCCACTTGTCTTTGCCGCCGTGTTCGCGCCAGAATGCGTTCTGGGTCATGGCGACTTCGGCCATGAGGCTGAGGTGCTTGGGGAGCGGGGCGAGCGTCGCCGCGGCGATGGCGCCCGAGGCAGCCACCGCGGGAACGCCAACGCCGGGGAATACCGAGTCACCGCAGCGCAATAACTTGGGAATAGGAGACAACACACCGGGTTGAGGGACTTCAGGGAGCGGCAGGAAGCCGAAGAGGCTGCCGCCCGCAGGTAACGCCGGTCCGTACGTGCCTCGATGACGTCTCAGGAAGCGTTGATGCGTCTGCGGAGACGCGTACACCTCCACCTCGACGCGGTTGCGGATATCCGGAATGATACGTTCAATCGCATCCCAGAGGATCGACGCGCGCTCTCGCTTGAAATCGGTGTACTCCTTGCTGCCTCGATCCTTGCCTTCCCAAATGTCATACGGCTCGCTCCCAGCCGTGTACACGTGGATGATGTGTTTTCCGTCCGGTGCGACTTCTGGGTCGAGCACGGTGGGAATAAATATGGTAACAACATTTTGAGGATCTCCCAAAGGCCTGTTCCAATCCATCACGCACAGGTGCGACGGATCGAGATCGGGCAAACCTGTGGCGTCGATCCCGAGGAACAGGTGCATGATGCTTCCCAACGCGGGGATCTCCGACATTTCCTCCTTCCATTCCACCGCTCTATCTAATCCCTGCGCCTGCAGCTCCTCAGCGTTCGGTAGCATCGGTACGGTGTCCCAAATCGTAGCGTTCGACACGACCGCGTGGTTTGCTTTGATGATCTTGCCGTTGCGAAGACGCACACCCTTGGCCTCGCCATCCTCGACGATGATCTCGTCAACGTGCGCTTTTAGCTGGAGATCTCCACCGAACTTCTCCAAGCAGTGCTGAAGCTTATCCACCACCGCTTGTGTACCTCCCTCTGGGGCGCACAGTGACGCTCCGGGGCGATGGAATCCGGGAATGCTATAGATCATTGTCGCGCCCATCGTCCCCTCTGCCGGGAAGCCACTGAAAAACGCGAGCATATCGATCCACTGCTTCAAAAACGGCTCCGTGACGTACTGTCGTGATAACTTATGAAACGAGTCCAAAATATACGGAATGTCTAGCATGACCTGCGGGTGCGTGAGGTAGAAGGGAATGGCAATCACGGTGCTCACCAATAGACCTGCGTCTTGGCGAAGCGCGGTGAGAGGACACGCGTCAAGCGCATCGTACAGCGGTTCCAATCGACCCTTCAGCGCCTTCCACTCCTTGATGGCGAGATCGGGATCGGTCGCCTTCTCTCTCAACAAGTCGCAAAATCCACCTGGCGCGTCGTCATCCCCTGTCTGAAATCTCCAGTGCCCCTCTGGCGTCCACATGGATATCCCGTCGTACGTCTTCACCGGCACCGTCTCCCCGAGCGCGTCGAACACCATACGCAACGGGTTCCCCGTCGGACGATCCAAACCCTCCCAAATCGACGGCCCGACCTCGAACTTGTACAGCGAACCGTCCGGGGCGCGATGATCAAACATGTGACAGCACCCGCCCGCGAGATAGTGGCTCTCAAATACCTTTGTCTTGTACCCGTACTTCGCCGAGAGCGCCCCGCACGAGAGCCCACCGATCCCGCTCCCGATCACCACCACGTCGTACTCCTCGTCCGCGTCGTCCAGCGCGCTCGATCTCGTCGAGGGATCACTCTCGCCTCGCGTCGCGCGCGCAGCGGTTATCCGCTCGGCGCCGTCTCCATCGCCCTCACGCCTCGCGCGCCCCGCTCGCCGTCCCCCAGCCGCCCCAGCCCCCCCGCACCATCGCCTCGCTCGCCTCGCCCGTCCTCGTTCGCGCCCTCGCCCTCCCGACGCGCCGCTGCACGTCGTCGACGCGACCGCGCTCGAGCTCCCCGTCCGCCCGAACGACCGCATGACGCCCGCGCGCGCACGTCGCGATCACCGATCGAGCGCGACGGAGCGCGCGTCACCGCGACGGCGTTGTCGTCGAGCTTTCGCCGTTCTCGCGCGCGCGCGCGAGTGCGCGCCAGCGTCGCGCGCGCGCTGGATACGCTCGGGGCGCGGGCGGGGACGAGTTCACACTGTTCGCCCACACGAATCGTGTGTGAAAATATCGCCGTGACAATCGCGCGTGCGGGTCTGTGTCGGATTCGGCGCGATTGGCGAGTCGGGACTCGTCAGCATGTCAATACTTGAGTCATGCCTCGATGGGAGTCGCTCGTTCCATCTTGGGTAAACACAAACCTGGTAGGACGTGATGAAAGTAAATCACCCGAGCGCGCACATTCTTCGTGCAAAACGTTGTCGTGATTCGCTCGCCCGGTCACCACTCGCGTCGGCGGCGACGCGCGACGGCGCGGCGACGCGGCGTCGGGGGACGATGCGAACGCGAGAGAAGCGCGCGACGGCGACACGCGACGACGCGAGCGCACTTCACGCGCGTCCATGGGGTACATACGCAATCGGGACCTCATAGCGGAGGACGAAGCCAATCGAGCTCGCATCGATGAAGCCGCGCGTCGTCGAGAGGGAGACGGAGGGAGCGCGTCGATGCGCGCGCACGGATCCGAGGGAGATCCCTGGGCAGAGTACGCGGCCGATGTCGAGAGGGAGATCTTCAACAATCGCTCCGCCGCTCAAAAGCGACGGAGAGCCAGGGAAGCGGCTTTGGGCAGCCCACCGATGATGCGCCGACGCAGGAAACGTGGCGCGGTTGACGGCGGCGAAGACGCGACTGCGACGGCCGCGATCGAACACGACAACCATGTCGATGATATCGCGA